ACTAGCGACATTATTTTCATAAAAAGAAAAAGGGAAGGGAAATACAAAGAATGCCTCAATCATATTCACGTTCACAAATCCAATTATTTCATTTCTAAGCAGACTCAAGGAAAATTCTAATTGATAACGATTCTGACCAGTATCTCACGAGAAAAGAAATGAACGTGGCTCAATCCTCACAAGGTAAAATAACTGTCAACAGAACAACCAAGCCAATTCATCAAGATATGCCACTCATTCTCATCATCTCAACTACTAAACTCAATCAATCAATCATCAACTAGTCTTATAATACACCAAAGTCCAGCTCAGAAAGACACAAACAAATAATCCTACAAAGTATACCGGTCCACAAAACAAGAGAAAAGCAAAAGCAATCCTAAAAAATAAAACTTAGACCTGGTCAACCACATAGACACATAATCATGTAAAAACTCCCCCACACTTAAAACTGAACAATGTCACCATTGTCGATCATTAGTGTTAGAAAAGTTGACCACATAGTCAACCAACACGCAAAAACAGAAAAAACTAAACTAAATATGAAAAATAAAGAGAAGGGAAAAGATACAGACGTACAGGGCACAATGACTAGACGAGTCACTGTGAATCCGGTGGTGCAGGTGGAGGGTGGAGATAGTCAGGCCCCGGACAGCGGTGGGCCTATGTCAGCTCAAATCTCTCACCCCATTCGGATCGGGGCAGCTCCTTCGAACTCAGCTGGGGAGGGGTAGTGGCTCGGTCAGAACGGTACTCTCTGTGGACATGGATACGGTCCTGCAATGATCTCTTCGCGTGTTCTCGCATACACGCGCCTTCAGTGAGCTGTTCAATCGCCCTGAGGTAAGCACAGTCTTCCACAACATTTGCCTGCGGCTCAGGCTGGGTCTCTCGAACGGAGATGGTGATGGACTCGCTCAACACTGTCATGCTCGCCGTCCCCTTCCTCACATCAATAACAGTACTAGTGGTCGCCATGAAGGGTCGTCCAAGGAGAATGGAGTGCTGTTTCTCTTTTTCTTCCACGTTCCCCACATCGAGCACTACGAAGTCCACGGGGACTATCAACTTTTCTACTCGTACGAGCACATCCTCCATAATCCCTTTTGGTCGACGGTATGAGCGATCATCTAGCTGTAGGCGCATGCCGGTGGGCTGGTGGTAAACTGCAAGTGGCATGAGGTTGATGTCTGCTCCAAGATCAAGCAATCCCGATGTCTCTTCCCCATTCCCGAAGGCCATAGTGATCACAAAGCCTCCGGGATCCTTTTCTTTCTTCGGCAAGTCATGCTGGAAGACACTCGCCGCCTCGCAGATAATCACCTCCTCACCATTCTCAAACCTCTTCTTGTTCGTGGCCACTTTCTTGAAGAATCGTGCATAAGCCGAAACTTTCTTCAACACATCGGGAGGAGATAAGTCGACATTGGCCTTGGCGAACATCGCAAGAAGGTCCCGAATCATCGTGCGGTCCTTCTCCTCCAAGAGTCGGCTCGGGAAAGGAATCTTCGGGCTGTAGGGTTTCGGAGATCTGTGCAAAGTAGGCTCGGGTGATGGTGTCACAGGGGCTTCTTTCTCCTTAACAATTGTCTTCTCCTCCTGCTCAGGCATAAGTACTGTAACTGAATTCGCATGCTCAGGCTGACTCGACAACTTCCCCTTGCTCAAGTCAGTCTCGATGGTCCCGACCCGTGTGGCCAACTGTCCCACTTGCATCTCGAGGCGCTTAATGGAAGCCTCTTTGTTCATGGTTCGTTTCTTGTTGTCGGCCAAAAACTGGAGGATCTTATCCTGCTTCTCATCTGAGTTTGACGGGCTCGGTTCGGCTTCTGGTGCTGACAACCTTAACATTTGTCCTCTGTGTTGCTGCTGATGGGGGACAAAGTTAGGTTGAGGCGGCTGCTGATAGTTGTTATTAGACCAGGAGAAGTTTTGGTGGTTTCTCCACCCGGGGTTGTACGTATTCGAGTACGGGTCATTTCTGGGCCGGTTCTGATATCCATGCAAAACGGGCTCCTTGTCCTCCATAATTTGGCTCGAGAGCCATAGGGCACACCTCAGAACTGTGTCCCTGTACTCTGCATGCTCTACAAGCATTTACTGCCATCGTCTGAACTGGTGAAGCTCCTCTCACACTCAATAGCCGCATCTGCTCCGTGAGCTCGGCTAACTGCTGGGTCATGACATTGTTTCCCGGTCCAATCTCATTCACTGAGGACCTCTTCCCTCGGACGCTCTTCTGAGACGAGTTAGCACTCATCGTCTCATATATCACCATTATCTCATCTGCCGTTCTTGCCTTAATGTCCCCTCCGACTACATTATCCACCATGTACTGCAAGTTCTGGTGGAGGGAGTCGTAGAAGCAATTCGCCAATATCCCTGGTGAGAGGTTATGATGCGGGCACTGCCGTTGGAGGTCCTTGAATCGTTCCCAGGCCTCATGAAGAGGCTCATTTGACAGCTGAGCAAAGGAGACAATTTGAGACCGGATATCTTGGGCCTTCTGATGGGAATAGTACTTCCCGACGAATTTGGTGTAAACTTCTGCCCAAGTTGTGAGAGAATCCGGGGCGAGGGTCATGAGCCAAGCATTGGCCCGATCCTTCAGAGTCTCTGGGAAACACTGCATTTTGAGTTGGTCCTCGTTCAGCCCGTGTAGAGGGAACGTCTGGAGGACGTTGTAAAACTCTCGAAGAAAGTGGAGTGGATCCTCATTTGGAAGGCCATGGAAAGACGGTAGCTGGTTGTAATGGATCATCTTAAGCTCGTAGTTTCGAGCTTCTTGTGGCAAACGGATGCATGAAGTGATCGGCCCGATCATGGGTTGGGCCAGGTCTCGGAGGATGTTGCGAGGCAGTTGTTGTTCGGCCATGTCTGAGTTACTCCCCTCGGATGATTCTAGAGAATGCTCGCCTTTTTCGTGTGATTCGAGAGTAAGCTCGTCTAGCAGCTCTCTCAGGCTCTCGTTGAAAGGTTTGTTGATTGGAGATAGTTTACGTCCACTCCTGGTACGCATGCACTCAATCAAACAACCGGTTACGAGCACCAATGATAGACGAAAGAAAATAAAATAAAAACAGAAAAAAAGAAAGAACTAACACCTAAACAAAGAAAAGAAACAAAAGAAACACAGAAACAAAGAGAATAAGCGCACAATATAATTTCTAAACCTTCCCCGGCAACGACGCCATTTTGTTGTAGTTATTTTTTACTGGAGTAGAATCGAAAGATTCAATCCCCGGGTCGTGTCTCAAGGTAGGTCAGCCGGATTACTTTGTACGATTATTCTATCACTCGAAAATAGAAAACAAGTCCTAAACACTCTAATTCAAATGGTTGGTTTTGAATTATCAACTACGCGATTAACAACTAATGATACTCAAACAAGCAATTCCAATTTCACACTCCAAAACACAATTCAAAGAATGATAAGAAGGACTAGGGTGTCAGGGACAATCGTTTCCGGTTCTCAATACATTAAACGACAATCGATTATTCGGCCAAAGGACACGAAAAACTCACTCATTCAGAGATTCATTCTCAATAACTCACATAACAAGAGAATAAACGTAAATGAACAATTATCGAATCAATTAGCACATAGACAATACGTCTCCGAACAAGTCTATTCTAAACGAGCCTAGATCAATTGATTCCTCCCCTTTCGGTTCTAAGAATCGATTTAGTGGATTAAAATGGTGATCAATCAATTCAACCCTAGGTTCGACACTACTCGAATAGATTGAGCAATCAACATGCACATAAACGAAATTGAATCGGAACAATTATGCCCTAGCCCTAGTTTACGAGTTTAGCTACTCATTATCAATTCAACACAACAATTCATAATTAAGCAAGCCATCAAATCCATACACAAAATGAAAAGAAATGCTTATGATTAATAGTGAATCCAATGTCGAAAAGCAACAAACAATCCAAATCCTAAAGCTTAATCTTGGTGTTTTCACAATCCAAGATCAATTCCAAGTGAAAGATAAGAGAAAACAAGGTTTTTAGAGTGAAAAAGTCGAAAATACAAGTCTGGGAATGATAAAAAAACGCTTAAGGCTCGATCCCTTAAACCCCTTTATTCAAAATTCCAGAAAAACGCATCTACTGAAAACAGACCCTAGCGGCGCTAACCCCTTAGCCCCGCTAACCCCATTTTTAAAAGAAAGCCTCTAACGTCACTACCTCCTCGCTAAGGCCAAACCGCCACTAGTTTTCACACCCTTAGCGCCGGTAACCCCTTAGCGGCGCTAGGGTCTGGGCAGCTTTCGATTTTTAGTTTTCTGAGCTCGTGGACTCTCGGCTAACATCTCTCGGTTCTTTCCCGAGCTAGAAAGTCAATCCTTTGTTGTTTGGTGGCACGAACTGGGATGAAACACTTGGGTACCGGAACGACCTGAAACACCAAAATCGGAAGACAACACGAAAAGCAAGGAAAATAGAGATAAAAGCAATGAAAATACTAAACACATCAAAATAAAGGTAAAACACGAGAATCGAATAGACGGACCGGTAACAACTAAAAAACGACCTAAAACGGGAGAAAATGCATGCAAAACATAAACAAAAATAGCAACAAAAATGGGACACAATTAACTGCAATTAGAGATGGTTTAGTCTTTCAAACAGACAAAATTTCAATACAAGTCCACTAAGTTGACACTTTTCTGAAATTGGTCCATCATGTAGTCCATCACAAAAAAAGTCCACTATGTTGCCAATTTAATCAACTTACATCCATTTTTCATGACGGATTGATAACCTGCTGACTTGGACGGATTATTTGCTTACGTGGGAGGATTACATTGTGGCGTTTCATACGTGGATGGATTAGCAAATATCAAACGCGACTATAAATAGACAGAAATGAAAAATAACGATTCATCTCTTCGACCCAATTTCAAGAATTTCACTCGCTAAAAAAAACTCTAACCCTAATGTCAGAATATAATTGAATCCTCGAATAATCCATCTCAATCGCTTAATCAATGACGAAATCAAAACGAAATATGAAGCCTATTGAGAGAATCGCCCGAGGAATTGCTATTTCTAGTTGCAAACTGAAGTTGCGGGCTAAGAAGGATGCGTATCGATCATGTCCACAATATGGTAAGTACAAATTGCTATTTTTGTTTGTAAATTGGTTGATGAGGGGACATGTAGGTCCAATGTTTAATATGTTTTTTTTTTTTTTTTTTTTTTTTTTTTTTTTTTNTTTTTTTTTGGTTTTTATTTGCAGGAGGAACAAATAGTTTCTTTACTGTTGCTATTCATTATGGAGGATTCTTTGATATTGGGCCTAAATACTCAGCATATTTAGGTGGGATTGGACTATGTTGATAAGAATGAGATTTCTTTATCTGATGTTCAGGGTTTGGCTAGAATTAAAGGATGCCCTAACCCTATTGTTATCTACGCCATTATATCTAGAAAACATCGTTTAATTACCACAGAAACTCAATTTGAGTCTGTTTTTGAAGAACTACGCAACATGAGGGAAGTGTTCTTTTATGTTGTAGGATCTGTGTTATCAGGTGCTGAAAGTGAGTTGGGAGATGGATCTGTGTTAGGTGCTCAAACCGGGTTTGGGGATGGTGATGGGTTAGGGGATGAAACTGGTTTGGGGGATGGTATTGGGTTAGGGCCTGAAACTTTGAGGGATGGTGAGGGATTAGGTGTTGAAACTGAGTTGAGGGATGGTAAGGGATTATGTGCTGAAACTGGGTTGGGGGATGGTGATGGGCTAGATGCTAAAATTGGGATGGGAGATGGTGAAGGGTTAGGGGATTGTGAGCCAAATGAATGTCAAGAGCAAACTCAAGGTGTAGATCAAAGTTACATAGATGAATTTGTGAGAGAGTTATCAGAAAGTGAGGTCAATGATGGGGAAACAGAGAATGGAGGAATAGATGATAGTGATGATGATTTATATGAGTTTGAATATGACATGGAGGATGAGCAAGTTGATGACAAGATGTTTTCTGAAAATGTTGACATTGATGCTGAGTGGTTACCTGGCCAAACATTAGAAAATGAGAGAGTGGTCAATGAGCAGGTGGAGTTAGAAAATAGGGATTTGGTTTATAATGATGAACTAAATAGTGATAATAGCTGTGATGAGGATACTGAAAACCTTAAGTTTCCTATGTTCAACTCCGCTGAAATTTATGATCATACTTTCAAAGTAGGGATGTTGTTTAGCAATAGAGGTGAACTTAGAATTGCTATTCAGTCTAGGGCTATAAAATCAAAAAGATCAGTCAGAATCTCAAAGAATGATGGTAAATATGTGGATAAATCTTGCAATTGGAAGTTGCATGCTGTCAAGCTTTTGAATGATCAAGCTTTCCAAGTTATCAAGTACACTCCTAGGCATACTTGTGCCTGCACAGGGAAGGTGAAAAATATTACTTCAACTTGGTTAGCTGGTAAGTATGCTTCTGAGTGGCAGGATGATCCAGATAGGAAAGTGAAGGGGTTTAGAATCTCTAAAGTGAGGGAGCTTAGGGTTACTTTTTCCAATCAACAGGCATACAGGAGCAAAATGAAGGCACTTGCAGATAGGGAGGGTATCCCTAGTGACCAGTATAAACTTATATGGGATTACTGTGAGGAAATAAGGACAACAAATCCAGGGACTACTGTGATTGTAGGCACTGATGAACATAATTTATTTGATAGATTCTATATTTGTTTGGGTGCATTGAAGGTAGGGTTCAAGGCAGGGTGCAGACCCCTTATTGGAGTTGATGGTTGTCACCTTAAAGGTCCTAACAAGGGAGTATTGTTAACTGCTGTTGGAGTAGATCCTAACAATTCACTCTACCCTCTTGCATATGCTGTAGTGAGCAAGGAAAACAAGGAAAACGGGGAGTGGTTTATCCTGCTTTTGAAGAAAGACTTGGATATAAATAATCAGCCTGAGTGGACCTTCACCTCTGACAAACAAAAAGGGTTGATCCAAGCATTTCAGCAGGTTCTTCCCAATGCAGATCACAGATTTTGTGTCAGACACCTTCTTGGTAATTTCAGGAATGCAGGGTTTAGAGGGATTGCATTTAAAAATGCAGTTTGGAGAGCTGCCACAGCCACTACTGTGAATGACTTCAAAAGAAAGATGGAGGCTCTTAGGGCTTTGGGCCAGGAAGCTTTTAATTGGTTTCATGACAAACCTCCCCACCAATGGAGCAGGTCCCACTTTAATGTATTTCCAAAATGTGACATGCTCTTAAACAATGGATGTGAGAACTTCAACTGTAACATCCTTCGAGCTAGAGAGATGCCATTTTATCTATGCTTGAGTGGATTATGGGGTACTTAATGAAGAGGCTTCAAGAGAACAAAGACAAGGCAAAAGGATGAGAATTTGTATTGTGTCCTAAGATCAGAGACATACACATTAAAAACCTAGTTGACTGCATTCCTTTGAAATCTGATGACTTCCATTTTCAAAATGATTGTGCAAATAGTGAGCAGTTCAAAGTGGACCTCAGAAATCATACATGTGGGTGTAGAAGATGGGACCTTAGTGGGATTCCTTGCCTTCATGCTGTCAGTGCTGTTCATTACCAAGGGTGGGACATAACAGACTTCACTCACTCTTTCTACAGAACTGAAACATATAGAAAGGTGTATGAGCCTGCTATTATGACAATCAATGGTAGAAAGGAATGGCCACAGACAGGTATTTTACCACCTTTGCCTCCTAATGATGATAGAACACCTGGCAGGTCTACTAGGGCAAGGAGACTTGAATCAGATGAAGTTCAACCTCAAAAGAAAAGAAGGTGTAGAGTGAAACCCAGATTTTTCACTAATATGGCCACCATTAAGAGACAACAAACTGGTTTGAAATGTAGTTTTTGTCACGTGGAGGGGCACAACAAGAAAGGGTGTCTGTTGATTAAGGAGGGAAATGCAGAACCTGTGGCAATTGCAGGGAAGATAGGCCTACAAAATTGCAGGTACTAACTCATTCCCTGTCTTTATGAGTCTATATTTCATACTTGCAATTGCAATCAATGTATTAAACCTTAAATATTGTACATTTTTTTTGTAGGTGAAGAGGACTAAAGCTGCCCAATCAAGTCATACTTCATCCCATCAGTGTCAATCATGCAAATATAAATTCTCTATCATAATGTGACTTTTTTGTGAATTAAAAATGTGTTGGTCTTTTGAAAATTTTTGTTTTGTTTTGATTTTACAGGTGGAGGAGATGAGTGAACCTGCCCCAACAATTCTAACCCAAGAAAGTGTTGCTCCAGCAGAGGTAAAACTATATAGTAATATAGTTTGTCTCTGTTGTGTTTTTATTGTTAAATCAATATAGTTACTGTATGATTTATTTTATTTATTTATTTGTGATGCAGGATAAATCCAAGCAGAAAACAAAGGGTGGACAGTCTCATTTCACTTTGGCCCCTAATATGAATCAATTCAAGAAACCACCATCCATGTACTCTCAGTTTCAGCAAGGGTCATCAGCAGTCTCTGGTGTGAACATTAGAGCACCACCTCCAATTGTTGGTGCCCATTTTATTCCAAGTCAAGAATCCTGCCTCTCAGAAAGAATACAAGATTGAAGGAAATTTTCAAAGAAATGGGGGTTAAGTATATTTCTGTGTCTTCTCTTGCAGCTGCTATGGATGCACAAAGGAAAGGCAAAGGAAAAGAACAGTGACTGAATGAAGAATGTGTAATTGTGTTATTTCAATGTGTAATTGTGTCTCAGCAAAAACAGAATTTTGCCATCTGGTATTTTGATGTTTGTAGGAAGGTTTTGAAAAGTATGTTGGTTTTGGTTGGTGCTGTGATGGTTATGTAGTTTTGAAAACTTTTGTGTTGTGATTGTTGCTATGCATACAAATGTTGGCAGGATGATGTATGGACAACCTTTTCAAACTTTTGATTTGAATGAATGTTACATTTGAATGAATGGACAGCCTTTTCAAATGTTGGCAGGATTTTACAATTTTTGAACGAATGTTGTCAGGATGATTTATTTGTTTTACAACTTTTCAAATATTTGGTTGTGCATTATGGAACCTGTTATTTGTCTTATAAGAGACATTCAAATATTACATCACAAAAAACATGTTCCAAACAAAACAAACACCAACATATCCATCTTCAAGTGCAACAACAAATCATGATTTCTCATTCAATTCCATCATCACAACAAACACCAAAACAGCAAAACAGTTCAATTACACTCCTTCCTACTTCAATTACATCTTCACCAAAACACTAAAGCAAAGTTGAATTCCATTTCTTCCTACTTCAGTTCCATCTTCACCAAAATAGAGTTCCAATCTATCACTACTTCATAAAATACGCAATTAAAATATAAACAAATGTTAAAGATACCAACAATTCCAATCTCCAAATTCTTCGGTTCAGCTTCTTCAATTCAATTTCATATTTCTGCTTCATGATTTTTGTTTCTTCTTCAAGCAATTCCAACCTTGCCATTTTTTCCTTCAGGGACTCAATTTCAAATTCAAATTTTGCGGACGTGATTTTGCCTTCAGCTTCCATTTTCCCTATCTCAATTGTGTCGTACCATGAAAAAAAAGTTCATCCCCCCGCTCCATCCGGCCTCCAATCTTTACAGCCATAGAACTTTCTTCCAGGATTTGAGCTTTTTTTTTTAAGCCCTTACCTTCATTAGGACGCCGCAACGGCATAAAATATTCGATGACGAACCCTACGAACAAGAAGACATGACTCTCTCAAATTTTTCAGCTCTGATTTTCTTCTGCTTCTCGAATTAGGGTTTAGAATGTGAAACTGAAAAGAAATTGGGGATTGAGATGTGCCTTTTGATTTATAAAGTCGATCTAGATCCACCTATAAAGCCAAATATAAAGTTGTAACTGACATGTCCAGACAGATTGCATTTGTACCTCCCACGTAAGCAAATAATCCGTCCAAGTCAGCAAGTTATCAATCCGTCATGAAAAATGGATGTAAGTTGATTAAATTAGCAACATAGTGGACTTTTTTTGTGATGGACCAATTTCGGAAAAGTGCCATCTTAGTGGAGTTAAATTGAAATTTTGCCCTTTCAAACAAGCTCTCTGTGTTTTATCACTACTAAATAATTCTTGTCGCGATATTAAAGCCACTGCTTCATTTTCCACTTCATTTTCTGCATTGCTTCAACTCTTTCCAGTTTCTGCAACTTCAATTCCGTACGAGCTGAGACGGGTGAGGATGAAAATGGTGGAAAGCAGCGAAGAAGAAGATGATTTCCCCTCAATGGAGAGCGTCACCCCTCAGTCCAAGATCGACACCATATACCAGTCCAAGACTGAAAAGGTTAGGGAAACGAAAAATGAAGTACTTGACTGTGCCTCACTTCATGGTTTTGCAAATTCATGTTCATATTTTTCCTTTTTCAGTTAATTTGATGAAGTAATTATATGGAGAAATGGCAAAAGTAGTAGGGATACGAGTCCTTTGTTTTTGGGTCCTGAAAATATTGAATTTTTTGCAATTTTGTATTCTGGGTTTTGTTCTGGTGATTTTGCAACGCGTGGAAGATGAGTTTTAGTTGCCGATTTGAAATTAGAATTGTGGATTCATTTTATTTTCCTGTTGGTGGTGATAATTTAATGCCTCCTCTCTTTCTGGTAGTAACTTTGATGTTAGCTGCATTATCACTTATATCTTCACCCTCAATAAAAACTCTACCTAAAATCCTCTGTAGGGTATCAGGAAAATCTGTTTCCAGCTTTTGGATCTGAAAGATTCAGTTGAAAACATGTGCAGTAGTAATATACAGACAAAGCATTTCCCTTTCTTGAGGTAAGTGAAAAGGCCTTTCATTATTTGCTTGGACTATGTTAGCTTAGCAGAGAATGTACTATGTTAATTTTGCAATTGTTCGAATTTCAGATATCTTATTTTCGCATGGTTTGTGATAAAATGAAAGAGATACGACGTTTGATTTCTGAGCTACAAGACATTATAAATGCGAGCTTCTTCCCTTAGTAGTTAGTACCTCTGCGCACATTCGTATCAACTGAAACCATATATTTGTTTCTTGAGAGACAAATTATATCAAATGCTCTAGGCGCCCTGCATTCTACATGTAAATTAACCAAATTGGGATTCTCAACATTTTGAAAAATTATGATAGAGTATACATGCTTTAGGCAGTTGGTTCTGTGATTCTGTCTGATCCCAAATCAGTATAATCTCCATTTAGACATACCAAATCTTTGACTTCTGTTATTTTTCTTTTATTCTTTTATGGCACCATTATGCTTGATTTATTCTTTTACAATGCCGTCTATGTACGGTTTCTTCATTGCTGCAGATTATCCGATGAAGTAGTTGAAGCAAAGCACGAGCTAAATGAGCTCCAAAAGCATATTTCCACACAGGGGCTTCTCGTGCAGGATCTCATGAGCGGCGTATTTCATGAATTGGAACAATGGAGCCGGGCCGGCGACAGTGTCGAGGAAGCCGATGACGACTCACAAATTTACGAAATCGAAGGTATATTCCCAACTGAAAAGGAGGACCAAAGGATGCAATTCTTGGAGCACATTGACGTTCTTCTTGTGGAGCACAAAATAGAAGAAGCCATAGACGCAATCGATGCCGAAGAACGGAATCATCTGGAAACAAACGATGAAGCCTCCTCCTTTAAGTCCGCTTTGTCGAATAGAAAAACGACACTCGAGAACCAGCTCAGTGAAATTAGTCAACAGCCCTCGCTTAGTATTCTAGAACTAAAGAAGGTGCTATCTGGTTTGTTAAAGCTCGGGAAAGGTCCCGTGGCTCATCAAATATTCCTGAAATCTTACGGGTCCCGCCTCCAGAGAAGCATAGAGGATTTTCTTGCCTTGTGCCCTTGCTATCCCGAGACGTACTCAGCTACACTGTCTAACCTTGTCTTCTCCATGATTTCACTGGCCACTAGAGAATCTGGCCTCATGTTTGGGGATGACCCTGTTTACAGCAATAGGGTCGTTCAGTGGGCGGAATGGGAAATAGAGTCTCTGATCAGATTGGTCAAGGAGAATGCGCCGCCTTCTGAGACTTCTTCTGCCTTACGTGCGGCGAGTGTATGCGTTCAGGCAAGTCTTAGCCACTGCTTGGCCCTGGAAGCACAGGATCTGAAGCTGAGGAAGCTGCTGCTTGTGCTTTTGCAGCCATATATTGAGGAAGTTCTTGAGTTAAATTTCAGAAGGGCTAGGAAAGTGGTTCTTGATCTGGATGGAGGAGAAGAGAGCATGCCTTTGTCTCCTCGTTTTGCGTCTCCTCTTTCCACTTTTTCTATCTCGTCTGATCGTATGCTCGTTGATTGCGGGATGAGGTTCATCTTTGTTGTCAAGGTGAGTTGATGTGACTGATAACAGTTTACTTATAAAATGAATTCTTAGCATCTCGTCATATTCAAACGTAAACCCCACCCCCATTACAGATCTCTGTGTTTATGTGCTATTTTTTTGTTGCATGACAAACCAGCTGGATAATGGGAATAAAACCACCACTATAGTGTTCTATTATATTAACTGATTAGTTATAACTAGTGATCTTGGCTTGAAAAGTAGTGAAAATTCGGTGGTGTTGATTGAGTCAACACATAAAACGTAACTGATTCATGTACATGTGTTACTTCAGGAGATAGTCGAGCATTTAACACGCTCAGTCATCCTACATTTCGGGGGAAACCTACTGACCAGAATCGCCCAGCTTTTCGATAGATATGTCGATATCTTGATTAAATCCCTAACCGGGCCCACAGAAGACGACAATCTCTCGGATTTGAAGGACCCCGTGCCTTTCAAAGCCGAGACAGACTCCCAGCAGCTCGCGTTACTCGGGACCGCCTTCACTATTGCTGAGGAGCTGCTGCCTATGGTGGTTTCCCGAATTTGGAATGTGCTGAATGAGAGCAAGGAAGCTGGGGCTGGGAAGGCTGATAATGTATTGCCTCTGGTCAACATCAGTGTCGATCCTAAAGATTGGAGGCGCCAGCTTCAGCATTCTCTGGACAAGCTCAGAGATCATTTCTGTCGACAATATGTTTTGAGTTTCATATATTCACGAGATGGGGAGACTAGATTGGATGCACAGATTTATTTACGTGGTAAAGGGCAAGATTTGACACGGAATGCTGATCCTCTACCCTCTTTGCCGTTCCAGGTATTTATTTATTTTGTTTTTTTAATTTTTATTATCATTTATTTTGTCTTGTTATTGTGATGTGCCTGCTTTTGCTTAATATATATGCTTGCTTGCTACCTTATCTTCAAGCAGGTCACATTTCTGGTTGTTGAAGAGTCTTGTTTGGTATAGGAGTTGTTCAAAATGTTTCGAAATGTCTCTTTTTAAATTATTTGTAGAATTACTTCAAGAGTCGGGTACAAGCGTAACTTTGCATTTCATCTTGGGATTCAATTAGATACATCATATCGTGCAGGCGCTATTTGGGAAGCTTCAGCAGCTAGCAGCCGTGGCTGGTGATGTTCTGTTGGGAAGAGAAAAGATACAAAAGGTTTTGCTGGCTAGGCTAACCGAGACAGTGGTGATGTGGCTTTCTGATGAACAGGAATTTTGGGGTGTTCTTGAGCATGATTCCGCTCCTCTTCGCCCTCTTGGATTGCAGCAGGTTCTCACAACAAGAAAACTTCCTATATTTTCTTTTTCATTTTTTTTTTCCCAAATTTTTTTAGCTTGCTGAGAAATAGAACTGTTACTTGGTTGAAAGTTCGTATGTTTAAAAAAATGCATCTAAATATTCATTTTTGCGATTCGCAGTTAGTACTTGACATGCACTTCACAGTAGAAATCGCACGATTTGCTGGATACCCATCAAGACACGTACACAAGATTTCATCCGACATAATTGCACGCGCTGTCAAAGCTTTCTCTGCCAGAGGAATAGACCCACAAAGGTAACAAGCAAATCCGACCTCTCGAAACTAAACTCGAGAGTGTGTTTGTTTATAAATTATCTCAATTCATACTCAATCAATACGCAAAATCTAACTCAACTTTAACTCAACCTCACCATTTTCAATATTATCAATATAATTAAATGATATCAAGTAATCAATCATTTTACACATCACATCAACTTTAATTCACTATTTATCCACTCACATAATTTGACTAATCATCACTTTCCTGCTTTTACATCAAAACAACTTTAATTATTTTATTTTAAATATTATCTTAAGATAAACCTAAAATTTCACTAACAACTAACCATACCAACTTTTAAAAATTAACCATGGTTAACCTAAAAAACTCGTTTTGAGCAGATATATCCATCAGTATTTTTGACAAGATCCATGTGATTTTGACAGTTCACTGCCCGAGGATGAGTGGTTTGTGGAGACTGCAAAAGGGGCCATAAACAAGCTTCTGATGGTGGGGTCTGGTTCAGACGCGTCTGAGATTGATGAACACATCATGATGGATGATGAGATAATCTCGGATTCGGACGAGTCCCCTTCATCCCTCTCGTCTGTCGACAGTGAGGAATCGTTCGCATCCGCAAGGATGGAAGAATTGGAGAGCCCCGTTTTAACGGATTCGGAAAATTGATGTGCAATTTAGTTAAGGATGCAGTGCAGAGAATATCTTAGCATCATTTCTCTTCAAAGTTTATGATTTTCTGTAGTTGATGTGGTAATATTATGTGTGTGATTTGTGTTTTGTAGCATTTAACAAGGGGAATTGCGTGTAGACATGTGCTTGATGCAGTTTAGTTAAACAATTAATTAGGAGTGTTGTTAGATCGAGCCGAGCCAAGTTGTGTTTGTATTCGACTCGGTTTAATTTAACGATATTATTAATGCAAATTTAGTATGTTACTAAGATTGTAAGCAAATTCAAGTGAAAGAAATGCTCAACTTTTATGATTTGAATTTTTGAAAATATTTGATTATTTGTATTTATATTTGTTTATCATTGAATTTAAGTATGATTCGAAAATTTTCAAAATTATGCATAAATATATTAATATACTAGTACAATATCCATGTATTACACGGGTCTTGAATTAGAAAGCTTTTGTAAAAAATATTATTTTTTTTTATTTTTTTTAAACTAAAGTAATTTAATTTTATATAAAATATTACTTTGGGTTTTAATTAAATTGTCAAATTATATCTATATATGTATAATAAGAATTACCATTTACTAAAAACAGTAGCAAAAAATTTAGAAAACATTTAACGCATGCCGTTTTTTGAAATTTTTTAAATATATACATTAATTGCTTACATATACACGTTTTCAAATAAGATCAAATAAGATATGATCAAAAAATTAAATACATTTATTAATATCTGCAATGTTTGCATTGATATTTATTATAATAAATTACAAGATTGATTTCCATAATCCATGTTGATAATTTTTTGGTCAAGATAAATATTATTTTGTTAATATTTGTAATACTTTCATTGATATTCATTACAATAAATTACAAGATTGATTTCCATGATTCGTGCTGATAATATTTTGGTCAACATAAATATTACACCATATTTTAAGTTCTAACCATAATATAATTTTTCTTTTTTCACAAATATTCACTTTTTATACAAAAATATTTATGGAAAATCGTACAGGTTAGGTAGAATTGTTTTTCCAAGTAATCTGACAAAATCAAGTTGGTGAATTAATCTTTGCCAATTTTTTTCTTAGGCTTTATTTTGTTAAATATAAAAAATAAATTGTTCTTCAAATTAATATAATTTACCATTTAAGAGATAATGACTATATACATTAAATATTTTTACTAATGGTAAAAAATTAAAATTCAAATATATTAACTATTTTTTAGAATTTATTTGTATATTATTGGCACCCATGATTATTTTTTTTTATTTTTTTATTTTGATTTATTTCTATAGTTAAATTCTTGTAAAATAAATTTTCATTGCAAAGTATGCTAAATAAACTATAAATCCTTATAATGCAAATTAGAAAAATCTTGATCATAGAAGAGATTGAGTTTTTGGAAAATTTTAAATCAAATTTGTTTAATTAGTATACAAAATTACTTTTTGTACAAAACTATCTCTCGCCCATTTTCTCTGAAATAGTAAACCCTCCTCATCTTCACCGTTTCTCTGCCAAATTGAAGTCGCCCGCCTTCCTCGGCGGCCACCGTGCTTAGCCGGCGGTTGCTGGCCCCAATCGCTTGGTTCTCGCCCCTTTTTCTCACCTCCGTCGCCCGATTCCATGACGAGGGTCCTCGTCTGTTGCGGAAAGATCCCGTCTTTCCGGCGCCGATCCGTCTATTCAGATGGGGTGATTCTCGGTTGTGAGGTGGTGGAGGCGTTGTGCGATTCCAGGGGCGGGACACGGCTCAATTGCACGGCGACTTGTTCGCCGGGTGACAGGGGCAGTGATGATACTCACGACCTTTCATCCTTGTTCTCGTTTTCCATGTCGATCGGGGTCGTCACGACGATTCTTCCTCCGGTGATGCTGGTTGGGGTGTTGACGCGGTGGGGTGATGGTCGTTGGGTACCTTGCCGGCGATTTCGGGCCGGGACTGAGGTCATGACATTCTTTTGGCCGTTTGGTGCAATTGGGTGCGGTGGCTGAGGTGTGGGTTGACCTGCTGCGGTTCCAGGGTTGGGGCTTCGTCTCCGTTAGGCACCCGAGGGGTTTAGGCAGTTTCGGGATCGGTGCTCCTGGCCACGGGATCCGTGGTCGACTTGTTTCCGCTGGTTGGCTCGGTGTTACTGCTAAGGAAGGGCTCGTTTAGTTTAGTTCGTGTGATTTTGTTTTGTTTCGTGTGATTTTGTTTTGTCCTCTTTATTTTCTGGTCTCTTTTGTAGGATGGTGGTTTTGGTTTGGGCCATTTGGCCTCAGTATCTGAGCGGGAGCACGCTTATTATCCTGTTGGGATCTGCCCCCGTCTCTATTCTCCTGTTGGGAGCCTTGTAGTTTTTCTTAGTTTTTGTCGTGTGCTTTTGTGTTGTGCTCTTTGTTTTTTGGTTTCTAGCGTTGCTAGTATCGGGATTCTAGGCAGTCGTCGGACCTGTCCTCCCATTTTATTCTCCCGTTGGGAGCTTTGTACTTTCATTCTCACTTTGTGCGTTTTGATTTATAATAGTTACTCTATCGTTTCGGGAAAAAGAAAAAAGTATACAAAATTAAATTCTAAAAAAACATGTGTATATTTTGTAAAATATTTACACACTATTTAATTTTAAATTTATTTACATATTTTAAATTGACTACATAAATAAATAATACTAATGTGCATTAAATATTTTTCATTACATAAAATAAAAAGAAAAAGAAGACGTACAACTTCCATAACTTTATAAATAATAATGACATTATATGACAACAAAGTTTATAATAAAATAATAATTAAGTATTATATGGTGAACAAGAATAAGTAAAATTGTTATTCTCTCTTGTATCAAGGAATAAATATATATATACTAAAATCAAATTTATATTAGTATAAATGTATTAGTGAGATAATATATTAATTATTTTACTACACTTAACGTTGATTAAGAGAGGTGAAAAATATATGATAACCCTATTGCTTTATATACTTAAACGGACAAAGACTGTAAAAATAACTCATTTAATATGGATGTCCCGTGCATCGCACGGGGTACGTACTAGTTTTTTAATCATAATAATTAAACACGCGTACATTAAATGAAATGTCAACTCGCGTTAAATTTTCTTATTTATATCATATAAAAATATCGATATTATTTACTATTACATAAGTGCAAAAATATGTACCTTAAATAAATAGAAATAATATGGTGACATGTATAAGTGTATAATACGTTTATTTATTATTAGACAAAATATATTAATTTTATTTATTTAATTAGATGCCTTAATACATCAAGTGTCGTATCAGTCATGTTTCACAGTTTTTTAACTTTATATGTAATTTTAGAATTTAGATAAATAATTTTGAAATAAATATCATTTTTAAAAAAATACATACCAATTCCTATTACTTTATAATATAATTTATAGTTTTATTTGATATAATTTAATTTAGTTTGATAAATAAATTTAAATTTTATTTATAAGGATATATATTACTGTTTTGTATTATATATATAATATGAATGTCAAATCAAAAATCGTTAAAAGATAGTTAATTTGATATATCATATATGAAAAATAAAATACAAATAAAAAAGTTATAAAATCTTAAAATAAGAAGAAAAAATATTTATACAAACTGATGAACGAATTATATAAGAAAATGAAATGTGATGTATGATAATGTACGAAAATGAAACATAAAATAGTTTGTGTTAAAGTAATGAAACATAACATAGTTTATGGTAACTAATTGTAGAAGTAAAGAAGGAAAAAATCAATAATGGATTTAGTGTGATAAAAAATATTAATTTATATCCAAGCCTAACTCCAAAGCATGGTTTTTTGCCAAATAGGATTCCGAAGAATGAGAGTTTGCCATGTATTACAAACTGATGAACGAATTATATAAGAAAATGAAATGTGATGTATGATAATGTACGAAAATGAAACATAAAATAGTTTATGGTAATTAATTGTAGAAGTAAAGAAGGAAAAAATCAATAATGGATTTAGTGTGATAAAAAATATTAATTTATATCCAAGCCTAACTCCAAACATGGTTTTTTGCCAAATAGGATTCCGAAGAATGAGAGTTTGCCATGTAGGTTCAGCGTATTCTGAAATTATATATAGAGGGGATGTTAGATATAAATATAATAAATATAGAAATATATTCATATTTATTAAATATAGTTTTTTAATATAATTTACATTTTTAAATATAAATATATAAAGAAATAATTTTTTTAAATATACATACATTTTTTTGTTTTATATTTATACTTAATATATTTATATATATTATATAAATAAAATCTTATATTTCATAAAATGTATTAAACTTTTTGTAATTATTGATTACGAATCAAATATTCTATAATTATGGATCGAACATGTACAAAATCATATTCTTATTCGTATAAATTTCGAATATTAAAACTATTTTTATTGGATTGAATTCGAATAGAACAAGTTTGATTTGTTTACAATCTTATGTATTATAGTGCTTATAAAAAATATAATTATTAAATTCTAATATTATTAATTTAGTTTTTCAAATATCTTTCTAAAAGCTAGGTTATTACAAAATCGGTTTAGGTGTGATAATTCATAAAATTCTTGCTATAAATTAGCAAGCTCGCGGGAAAATTTAGGGCTTTTTTAAGGCAGAGCCAGGAACGCGCGGGCCACAGATATTTTCTCCATCAAATGGACGGTGCAGATGGAGGATCATCGCTCTCAGGCTCAGCCGCGCAGATCACCGTCGATCTGAGCCGAGATAGGGCGGCGGTGGTGGACCTGACTGGGAAGGTGCATCAGCTGCCCTGCTGCATCAAGCACGACGGTCCCACATCTGTTTCTCACTACTTCAAGCCCAAACACACAGGTAGACTACCTTAACGTACTGCACGTATATGCACTACGCACAACGCGTGAAAGCACAGCGTACAATAGTTGATTGCTTGTGCATTGGGTTCCTGTACCTGCTTTTGGTTGTATCACTATCAGGTTTTCAATAAGTAGAAAATTTGGTGTGTAGGTATGGAGGTGGATGGGCTGAAGGTGGAAGAAGCGCATTTTCGAGGGAGGAAATTACATGGTACCACCGTCGCCCTGCCGGAAGGCTATTCTGGTAATTTTCATCAGTGATTGCTGCTAAATGTATATTGCTCTTGAATGAGGTTCATCAGATTTATTGTTGGTATAACTGTGAGGTTCTGTGTTTTGCTTTCTAAATTTTGCATACGACCCCGAAAATGAGGTCAACTGACTGCGATTACTGATAAAAAAATGGGTTTTTTTTGCTAAATTTGCTGATCATTTAGAAAGAAATTCTTGCTGTTGTGAAAGAAAAGAGTTAATTGTTTTCTTGATCCGATATTTGGGTCATTTGGAGCAATTATCACTGAAACTGATGTGTGCTTATGACACTATTTAGGCTTTATATTGGGGAAGAAATGTCATGGTAAGGAGACTAGCACGGGAGGATCTGAATACTGGGAAACAAATGCGACTTTTCAGAATATTACAGTGTGGAATCATGATGCCATGCCCTCGAAGGACGATGCTTTCTTGCGTGCCTTTCACTGGTTTTCTACTGCAAATGCTGTAAGCCTTCTGTTTCTATAAAAAAAATTAGAGCTTGAGACAATGGGTGGAGTAGTGATTAATGAACAGAGGAAAGACATGCATGCAGTTGTGATTGCACTTCTAATGTCCTTTTGTGTTTCTTGTTGGCAAACTTGTCTCGACTCGGGTATAATTTTACAGCACTGCCACAAATATTTGTCTAGATGTCAACTGCCTTTCTAGACAGGTAATTGTGGAAGAGCAAAAGTGCAATATGCTATAGAACTATTTAACCTCTTCTCCGAATCTACAGATTTAAACAAGAATATACAATTGTTTGATTGATGTGGTTTTTTCTTGTTCTGCAACTGTTTTATGTGATTTGCAGCTGCACAGGACGGTGACTCCTGAAGATTTGGAGTCTATATGCTTTGATTAGGGTGATTGTGTAATTTACTGGCATGAAGTGTTTGACGCTCAGAAATTGTATCAGATTACTGATTGATTATATATTGATTCTGATTTAAATTAGATTTTATAATGTCACATGTTTTTCATTGATTCAACCAATATATACACTCTGTTAATAATCTGGCTTTGCGCGTTTGCTGGCTTGATTTTATTTTCTTAAAGATCCCTATTTTAGTGATTTTATGAATTTTGCTTTGTGAGAAGCAAAACAATTGGTTTGTTTGTCTTGTGAAATTGATAAACACATTTGCCTCCTACATAAGTTGTCATCCTGTGATAAATCCTGCTATAAATTATTGAATGTACTGAAGAAGAAGAAGAAGAAGAAGAAAAGTAAGCAATCTCTCTCTCTCTCTCTCTCTCTCTCTCTCTTTATCTCTCTCTCTCTCTCTCACACACACACACACACGACAAGGTGTTGTTTTTTCCAAAAGAAACAAAATTATGCTCAGGAAGTAAGGAACAGAACACTTAATATTGTAGTCTATTCTGATTCCAAAAGAAATGATAAAATGTATTAGAATAAGATGCTAAAGCTATCTCACTACTTTGAATCTGATTCCAATAAAATAAAAGAATAAGGAGGTTCTCGCACAAATTTAATATATAAATTACAGTTCAAGAACACATTGAGAGGGCATCCAATTTGTTTCATCTGTTTCAAACATTATGGGAGCCGAGTTATCACACGATAAGCCATCGGAGCCAAGTGCTAATGGACCAAGTAACAACGCTAATAATCCCAATGTCAATCAGAAAACCAAAGAAGTTCCATTACCTCATAACTATGAAGCTATTTTGAAGCATGCCGATTCACCTGTTGATAAATCATCACCGAGCAAGATATTGGAACAACTTCAAGCTGGTGTATTCTTGAACCAAAACAAAAAGGTTAGTATGCATTTTTGTTCTTCTTTCAAATTTCTTTAAGGCCATTGGTCTCGAAAATTTAAGGAGAATTATTGAATTGATGTATAAATTAACTGAATTTATCAATATACAGTGCTTGAGTCGATTAATTTGCAGAAGTACTGGGTCGAGAAGGGGTCAAACAGCAACTGCTTCTTCTTGTTTGCAAGAGATCTTTCTATAACTTGGGCTGAAGATAGCCGCTTGTGGGCATGGCCCTTGCTGCAAGAGTCGAGGTATAGAAAAAATCATTTTCATCTTACCGAAAAACATAAAAAGAAAGAAAGCAAATGTTACAAACAAAGCTCCTAATTTCAATCGTTGCATCTAACATCAGTAAAGGGACGAATATGAACACTTCTGTTAAGTTACTATTTCTAGTTACAATATATAATTTGCAGTAGTTTCAAAATTAAGTTACGAGCATTGACTGTGCAGTGATGAAGGTCTTGAAGTTGCTGAATTGCTCAACGTCTGCTGGCTAGAGCTGCACGGAAAATTCGAGCTTCATAACTTATCACCAGAAACAATTTACGAAATCGTTTTTGTTTTGAAGCTAAAGGATCCAGCTTACGGATGGGAACTCCCTGTAAATGTGAGACTCACATTACCAGATGGAAGCAAACAGGAACACAAGGAGAATCTGTTGGAAAAGCCAAGAGGAAAATGGTTTGAAATGACTGCAGGGGAATTCAAAAGCTCGTCCGAGAAGCTTGGGGAGATAGAGTTTTCTATATATGAATATGAGGGAGGAGAATGGAAGAAAGGGCTGTTGGTAAAAGGAGTTAGCATTCGACCAAAAGGGTCGGTTGTGTAAACTGTAAAGTCTGCAAGTGTCTATGATTGTGTGATCTGTTTTTCTCATGTAAAACAGGAAGAATGAATAATTTGCTTTCATGGAGTTTATGAATATATCATAATTGGTTCCAGTTCTCTTTCTCATTTCTTTTCAAGATTTTCAGATTTGCTGGTTGCATAATTCGATGTGATTGAAAAGATTATTTTGAAAGAGTAAATTTTAAGCTCTGGTAAATATGGAAAGAGATATCCAATGTAGGTTAATTTTTTACATAAATTGATCAGTAGGAAAAGAGAAAAAAACAAGGTATCACTTAAATACAATAGAACTAGTTTAGTTTAGAGAAAATCTTGTTATCTGTTGATCAGCTTGTATCCAGGACCATGATAGAATACAATTGATGGACAGATTAACTACCCTTATGATGAGCTCGGATGCTCAAAATTTTTTTTTTTTTTTTGTATATAATTTTATATACTTTAGTTAGTTAAAGCTCGAATTCTGCTTGTTATTAATAATAAATGTTAAGCTTGTTTATCGGCTCGTTTGCATCCATAGTCCCGTGCATGCTGGAAATATTTTTTCTTTTGGCAAAATAATTAAATATGATTCTTAATTGTTTAAGATAACAGAAAAACTGGTGCCAAACCGAAGAAATTTTTATATTTTTTAAAATTTTAAGGGATTTAGTTCTTATAACTTTTTTTTTATTTTTATTTTTGGTATTTCTATTTTCTACTGTTTTCGTTGACTCTGTTTATAAGTACCTTTACAAATTACAACTATTTTTATTTAATGACTTAATTTTAGGAATTTTATTATCGTTAAAAGCTTTTTTAATATTAAATTTTCATTTGGGTCCTGAATGAATTTTTGTTCATAAGCTTTCCAACATTACTCGGACTCGGAGTCTCGGAGTATACCACACTTCGAAAACGACGGATTTGGGCTTCTCGGAGAGAAAATTTGATGGCTCACGGATTTGGTACAATTCGGTAACACTATGTAGGCCCATTAGGACACAATCGAGAGGTTTCCCAAATTTTGAAGGCCCGTGAGCTAGACGTGAGTTTCGTCATGACATCATTCAAGGACAAATTTATTCGAGGGGGAATAAATAAATAGTTGGAGAAAAATTTGTTTATTCGAGGGGGAATAAATAAATAGTTGGAGAAAAATTTATTTTTGTTATGCGGGAGAATTTTTATTAGTCCTTGGACATAAATATTAAATAACTTTTGGTTTTTTTTGTTTTAAAGTAAAATTATTAAACAAAGTACGTTATATTTTTTCTTATGTTATATATGGATAATTTTGAGTTACTCATGATTTTAGTTATTTATTTATTTCCTGAATTATTCGAGCTCTTTTTTTTTATATATTCTCAAATCTTGATAAAACTGAATTTTACATTATTGATTTCCTGACTTATGGTTAAAAATAATTATCCGGATATGATTAAGGAGGCGGCTAAATTAATGGTGTGATTAGGATAAAACTGAGTTAATTATGTCAACTAATCACGACAATATTGCATGCTGACCAATTCTGTGACAATGAAAGATAAGTAAAAATGGAATAATTAATTAATTAGTTAAACTTTAAACACCAAACGACATTGAGCTGTTGAAGTGCATGTGGTGGTTGGTTACTGGTTTCGTTACTTAATACTAATACGAATATTGGTTTAACTTGTCCTCTGACAGCCTTCTTTTAACCACTTAATTAATTAATTTCAGTGCAGGTTATTGTAAAAAGATGTGCAGTCAATTACTAAATAATTGTAACTAGTACAATACCCGCGTATTACACGGGTGTTGAATTAGAAAGCTTTTGTAAAAAATATTAAATTTTTATTTTATAAAAACTAAAATAATTTAATTTTATATAAAACATTACTTTGGATTTTTATTAAATTGTCAAATTATATTTTTTTTAATCATAATAATTAAACACCCATACATTAAATGAAAATGTCAACCCGTGTTGAATTTTTTTACTTATATTATATAAAAATATCGATATTATTTACTATTACATAATTACAATATATATCTTAAATAAATAGAAATAATATGGTGATATGTGTATGTATAAGTGTAAAATATGTTTATTTAATATTAAGCAAAATAAATTAATTTTTTTACTTAATTAAATGTCTAATACATCAAATGTCGTATCAGTCGATGTTACTTGTGCGATTTATATGTGTTATATTATAATAAATTTTCTATCTTATAACATATAACTATATTAAATATAAATATATTAATTGATAAATAATTTTATTTTTTAATTAATTTTAATAAATAATTTTATTATTATTATAAAAATAAATATAATTTATTTATTTTATATATACAATATGGATGTCAAATCGAAGCTCATCAAAAGGTGATTAATTTGATATATTATACATATAAAATCAATAAAAAATACAAAAGTTATCAACTTTTAAAATATATTTCCAATTCATTGGTTATAATAGGAAATGATATTAAAATACAATTAATACAAATATTAATTTATATCCAAGCCTAATTCCAAAGCATGATTTTTTGTCAAATAAGATTCCGAATTGTCACGTAGGCTCAGCGCATTCTGAAATTATATATAGAGGGGAAGGGGATTATGATATATATTACTGAGGAAGAATTTTTTTTATTCTTGTGAAAGATGTTGTTTTATTTCGTGATTCAGATTTTAAAATGTTCTGTCCAAAGATATGATTGTTGTCACTTGTGACCTAATCTTGTTTAGGTTGAGGTGAACATGTATCATGTATTTGTGGACAAATCACTAAGTTATTATTTAAATATAATTTTCTATAAACTGAAGTATATATATTATTGAAACTCTCTAATGCCTTCCTACATGAAGATATATAATTCTCTATAAATTATATTCATTATCAGATAAAAATAAAATCTATTGTTATTATAATTATAACTATATTTCTTGTGATAATATACTGATATGGTGTGATAAGTGATAACTGATACCATGCAATGTATATTTTTTGTTTTATGGTTCTAGGGCTCAGCATTTAAATATATAATGTAACTCAGATAAAAAATTACTTTTTAGTACAATATTTTTAATTGTATATAATGTTATATTTTTAAATGTGTTCAAACCAATTTTAAATTATGATTTACTCTTTAGAACAACGGCATATATAATAACCTCATATATATGTATATATATAGTTTTTCAAATTAAAAATGTGTTTTAATTACAAACCTAAAAATGGTTCTTATTAAAATCTACTAAAAAATTCATATTTTTAAAACTATTGTTTCAAGGAGACAAATTTCACTGTGTGTTAGATCAATTTCTTAATTTCACTAACCCCATCAACCGACCAACAATTATAATCAAACTATTTAAATCCCGTGCTTGACCTTTGTTAAATTTTATTTGAAACCCCATTGACTAAATAGTCCAATGAAACATAATTTTAAAAACATTTTAACAACATTTCAATCTGAAAAGTAACTTGTTGAGTCACTGATTTTATTAGACGATTAGAAAAATTAAATGCCATATATATAATACATCAATTAAATAGTAGCATAACTTAGGCTTGGCCAAAATTATGGTGGATTTCAAAATTTATGGTCATTAGTATTTAATAGGGAATAAAGACGTGGAAAACTGAACATATACCTAAAATCTAAATTTGTCTATGACAATGGAAAAATAAATGGGAGCAGACCTAACTTCTAATTATTATTCTTTCATAACTTTTAAGACAACAATTAATGGTGAAATTAATGTGACAACTAAAGAGCATTAGTAGTCCTATGAACAAGTTAGCACTTCTCTTCTGTATGTTTCTCATTAAACGTAATTAATATTAAAAAATGTTACATGTACATAATAAATGTACATAGAGGTGTATAACACTCACATGGAGTGGATCCACTTGATTTTTTATTTTTGGTAGGACCCACTTAATGTGAGTGTTATGTACATTATTATGTACTTATAGCATTACCCAAAGAGGCAATGATATTTATTTAAAATAGTAGCTAAAAATCAGCAAAAAAAAAAACATTTGATTTCCCGCCTAAAGTGTTTACTATATTGAGTAATATTTTTTGCCAAAATTTGAAAAATCCCGCCTAAATTAATGTAATTAATGTACAAAATCATTTTGGTCAAAAATTGCGGCTATTACATTTAAGTAATAACAAATATAAATTTTATACTTATACTTATTATTCACATAGGTTGTTAAATATATGATAACATTTTACTAAAATAACTTTTTTATGGAATCCCATTATAGTCAAATCGGATTTCTGAATAAAATTTTTGAAATGATACTTATTTTAAAACGAATATAATGTAATTTATTATCAGTTATGTGCACGACACGGGTTGTGTACGAATTTTAAATAGACATTTTTATTTAATTTTGTACAATTTAAACTTTTTATAACATTTTTAATAAATTAGTATAGGTAATTATATTACATATTGATTTAGTTTTATACTCTTAAATAAAGGAAAAAGAAGAAAAAATATAATCCATATAATGTGATTTAGTTTTATACTCTTAATTATTCACTGTGCTAAACAATGGAAAATTTTCATTACAATGCCTAATATTATTGTATTTTTGTATCTTATCACAATAGTGTATGAATTTTGAATTTTTTTTTTTAAATTCAGGAGTTTCAATAAGTTATTTTCTATCGAAGGCCAAACTTTTTATTTGGATTTTCAATTTCAGACCTCAAATAACTTTATATTTTGACATTTAACTTTATATTTTGACATAATGATATTAACCAANAAATTCCCTTCAGTGGTGAAATTAATAATAAGATACATTTATGCAAAAAAGTTTTTAGTTTATTTTATAAGTTTGAAAAGAAGCCACATTTAGTCTTCGCAATGCCATATTTATTTTAATCGAAAAGACATATTTTCAACCTAGTAATAAGAGACAGATAAATTTAGAAAATAAGACATAAAAAAATTCAAGAACTCACCTGATATATGAGGAAGGCCAAGAACATATATATAAATATATGCAATTGATCAATAGATCCATTTGTTGTTGGTGAGTGATTGAAGCTGCTAGATGACCTGATGATAACTGACTCAACCTTCTAAAGCATAATTAATCAATCTATATAATTAATTTGTATTTGTGGAAAATTAAATTACTTCTTGTTGATTGTGATCTAAAATTGCAATGAAACCTTAAATCCTTGAAGAAACTTTGTAAACACAAAAAATAATATATATGTAGTAAATAAATACTAATAACTTGGCATCATCAAAACCAGATCATGCTGGCAGCTTCAACCTCTCAGACCAACACACAGAGAGAAAATAGAAGAAATTTCACTGATAAACAAAAACCATGCACATATACCTGTGATATTGTTGAGAGATAATGGCTATTTTTTTTTTCCTAATTAAACCCAAAAATAAAATTGTGGCCTATGATTACAGCTAGCTATTGAGTGTGACATGTTTGTTGCCTGTCCAAAAACCCGTCTTCTTCTCCCTTCAAATAGGATATGGGGAGAAGGATTTTTTTTTTTTTTTTATTATTATTATTTGTTTTATTTTTCAAAAGGACCACTTTTATATATGTTTATAGACTCTATCTATGTCCTCAACTAGCTATTATGTTTATCAAGGTGACTAGTCCATGAATTAATGATTAATTAATTAATTAATTAGGCTGTCAAGAACTATATATTGTGATCTAATTTGAACTATCTATTCATTGTGGTCTCAATTAGCTTATGTAGGCCCTTTAATTAAATTATTATTGGTATCAACCTTTATTATACATCAAATTCATAAAGACACACTTCTATAGTTGGAAGCTGAAAGACAGGTACAGAATAGGAGTAAATCATCGGATGAGAGGTTGATAATTGAATATGCATGTTTTTATATAAAATATCATGATTTAAAATACAACATTATGATATTTAAATATATAATTGTATAGATGCACTGTTGTTCGTCAACTACGGCATGACTGCATCGTTACTTTTTAGAGCATCTCAAACCTTACNGAACATTTTCCGAAAATTTGAGAAAATTAAATTTTAAAAAATAACTATAAGATGATGATTATGTAATCATAGACCAACAGAATTTAATTTCGGGGGTGGAAATTAAATGAAATAACAATGTAAATATTGGATTCAATTGATAAGTAAGACGACTATACCTTGTAAAATCCTACGTAACCATTACTTTTCCTATTATAATTTTTTACTCCAACTATTCCATTTTTTTAAAATCTAAAAGAATAAAAGACTGATAGGCCAGAACAAGTATATATAATTGATGAGAGGCTGTAGGTATGAAAATCTTGTCTTTAGCCTTGGATTTCATGGTATGTCCATGATTGACAAATATTGGAATAAAAGACAATCCCTGGTCCAACTTTTGTTTTATTTTTATTTTAAAATTTTACGCTATTTATCAATGGTCCAGTAGTCCACCACTACTAGTTTGTTTTGTTCCATTGTTGCACGAATTTCAGTCACTAAACCTATTTTTATAACATCGAATCTGAAATTAGAGAGCAATTTCTAAAATGTACCTGCTAAAATGAATCAATTTGTGTACATATATTAATTCGTGTCCAAAGTTGACACACAGTAGACAGAAGGGCAGAGTATATTCAGATGCTACAAACAATATTCCAAAAATTTCTAATCCACTTTTTTTTTTTTGGTTCTAATTTCAGTTTTATTATTAGCTTCACACATTTCAGGCATACACAATTGAGTTGTTGCAGTCCCTGACAGATTCAAACAATCAACCAAAACAATTACAGTCTCCCATCTAACCATTTGCCTCTCAGCATTGTGTATATATCTCAGCACAAATATATATATATATATATAAATCCAAATGCAAAAGAATATAGCAGTAGCAATAGTGTTTCCTCATGAAGGCCCGGTTGGCAGAGACTCGGATGGTCTTTTTCTCTTGGGGTCGGGTTCGCCAAGCCTGAGTGAAACAGAAACCTCACCTTGGGGCTCGTCCGACAGTTTTTTCAGACAAGTCCTTTCTTGTTGGTGTTGGTCAACGAGGGTTTGACTCGGGATGAACTGCACCTCAGACGAGCTACTTTCAATGTGAAACTCATCAACCTCGGGCAGCTGATTTAGGTTAAGTCGAGAATCATTGTTCGCTTCGCATTTGTGTTTCGGAGAACATTCTCCCACGATCGAGTCAACCCTTGCTGCTGATGCGTTTATCTGCTCTTCTAGTGCAGCTAATTTCGCAAATTCGACAGGGGAAAAATAAACTTAGACAAGAAAATAAAAATTTGATATTTAATTTGAGGGTGGTTTTTATTCTATTAACATCCTTATACTAAAACTTGGTTTGGTAGGACGAGCTTTTTTAAAAAGCTCGAGCTTATCTCATAAGCTTCCTTGGGTAGCTTTTCAAATAATCCCATTGAAATTTCTACTTCAGCTAACTTATTAGCTAATTTTACCAAACACTCTTATCATATAAGCTAGTTATTAGCTATAAGCTTGAAATTCACTTAAAAGTTATAAGTTAGCTGATCAGCTAGGTTTCCCAAACATAGCCTAAAATGTGATTTTGATGACAATTGATACATTCATCCATTGATCCACCTTAAGCACAAGTATTTACAAATCATTTGTTACTGCAACAAACAAAAAATAACCTTTGGCCCCAAATTAACAAACCAAGCAAAAAAAGAAAAAAGAAAACACGTTTTAGGGAAATAGTTAGAAAAACTAACCGTGAAGGGCCTCATTGGAAGTGACGATATCGAGTTCCAGGAGATCAAGAAGTCGACCTAAATCGACTCCGCTAGTCCAATTTTCCGGGGGCTGGCCGACTTTCAGCTTCAGTCGGCCCCGGTTAGCTGTTCCTCCCCAAATTATGCCGACGGGTCGAGGCTTTTCCCCGTCTTGACCAGTCAACAGGATGAGGCTCCCGCTATCTCCCTCGAGGTCGAATGTTTGCTGGTTTTCGCCCACAACAAGAAAGTCGGTGAAAAAGCACATACCCTTTTCGTCATTGTACTCGAGGGAGTAAGCCATTATGGTGCCAACTGTAAGGCCAGAGCTTCTGCCGACTTTCACGACTCGCCGCCCGACGATGCTGCTGATTGGCGACTGCAGGTCAATCGTGTTGACCTCGCCGATTTGTCCAACGCCTTTCACGAGTGTGGTCACATTGGCCATCTTGAGATCGTCCGAAAAAGGTATGAATGCGCCATCCGCTCGGACAAATGTCTCTGCATGATTTTTAGAATATTTTAATTAGTTGAAAAACTAGGTGTAATGAAACATCCATTCACATATGATTAGTAATTAATTACCTGGGTTAGTACCGGCGAAAATGCCATACCAAAGATCATCAGTTACGAATGACGTTGCCCTTTCCACGGCACCTAAATAAACCCCCGGCCCAAGACTGGGAGGCAACGGGTGAAACATTTTCTGGCTCGGGTAGTCTAGATCAACTGCCACGTGTCGATTAGTCAGAAAACCTACTTGCCTGCTTCCTGTTCTGCTTTTCACGATAGCACCCAAGGTTCCGTAAGTTTCTTGGCTCGCAACCTAAAACATTAGAGCCAATTGAAAATGCGTGAAGTGATAATGATGATTAAAACCGTACAGAAAGACCACATATGAATCAACAACAAAACGAGAGACAGTATATATGTTTTTTCAAGAAATATATATATTTGTATTTACCTGTGAACCGGATCCAATGCATGGATCACTTTCACCAAAACCATCCACGAGTTCCGTGTACATTTGCTCTTTTGGTGTGGCTGCAGGCACCCCATAGTAAGAGAACTCAACAACATCAACATCACACCAAATCCCTCCAGGTCCCTGCAGAAAAACATTATGAAATAACTCAAAAACACGATACTTGTGAAATCAGGATCCATTATGAGTTGTAATAATGATACACTGCCTATCAACTGTCCACCACTTGCAATCTTCATTTTATAGTTTACCATTTTCTTCGCAATTTATTGGGACAAAATCCAAAACAATTAAAACCCCCCCAACCTCGAGAGCAGTAGGCAGGCATTGTGCAGGGCTGAGCCACTGCCTGTGAACTTTTCTAGCCACAAAGACTAAAATAGCTGGTATATCAGTCAACGAGCCCCTCGTGATCCGGAAGCCAATTGCAGTTCCAAGACTAAACCTCCGTAAAAATTTGCTGTGAAATGACCTGATCGTCATCACCTCCAGCAGCATGGTGGCCTGCAAGCCAGTCGGGCGCCGGCCCAGAGTTTCGGGCAAAACCCCTTTCTGAAGATTACCAAAGTACAGTGCTCTGTCTTCCGCACAAGGCGCTATCCGGCAAGCGGGCCACGAGAAGTAGGCGGCACTACTCTCGCTGACCTGGCCGCCTGCTTGGAAAGACGCAGGACTCGATTCGTGATTATTACAGTTATTCCTCTCTAAATCCAAAGCAGATTCCTCCGACTCTGAGGATCCAAAGTTGTGATCTGTTAAATCCATTCTGCCCATATTCATCTTCATGCACTCAAGCTCCCTGCAAGATTATTTTTTATTCTTTAATGCTAATCCAACACCTACAAGGCAAATGGAAAATTGTAATACACGTAATCTGAGCTTCCTACCATTCCCATAAGACAAAAAACGCCGTGATACTGCTTAGTGCTTACTTCAAGCAATGAATCAGGAGCTCCTGAAAGCATATATTCAACAATAAGCACAAAACAAATCAAGAAATACATAAAAGATAAGTTCAATATTGATGGTTAGACTATTAATGGAACAGTCGATGACTCCCAAAGGAATAATTCAAAAGATTTAAAACCTAATATGCGAAGGCACACTGTCTGGGGTACGAGCTAATGAAACCAATATGAGATATAACAGCAGGCAAATGATAGAAATAGTGAAAATGAAATCTTCAATACCCTTCAATGATAGCCACCTGTGTACAGCACATGGAAGACTTCTCTCACACCCTATAACAGATATCCTCATCCCCTTCGAGGTCAATTAATTAATTAACAAAAAAATTTACGGACCAGAGAACTGGTATTATCACCGAGAGAATGAGCGTAAAGGCAAGATGTGTGTTCGGGGAGGAGTGCAGGTTTCAGTGCTCCAGTGTGAGAGAGAGAAAAAGGGGAAATCAATATTAGGAAGGAGAAACTATTTTTAGAAACAATCATACAAATGTAAACTACTGTAACTTCATGATACATAGGAGCTGTACTCCGCATACAGACAAGAACTCAGTAAAACCGTAAAAACACCACCTTTCCAGCGTTGTGTAAAGAACAGATTGTTTATTCAATGGCCTGTTTTTAAAAGCCATTATTTTTGCCCTTTTCTGCCTTTTTCCCTGTCGCCATCATTTGTGCATAATCTTCCCCTTTTGCCACTCATCATTTGAGCGATCGAATATAGAGATGAGACTTTTTAATGGTGGAAAAGAAAAAGAAAAACAGAAAGAAATACGGAAAAAAGGGGGTGAGGTTAAAGATAATCATTTTTCTTTGGATTCCAATCCATTGCAAGGTAATAGGGTTTGTGGGGATTAGGGGCCCCCATATATGCTTGCTCCCCAAAAGTTGCACATTTGCTCCTCAAATATATATTTTTTTTTTCTTCTCCCCCTCACCTTATCTTGTATCTAATCCCTTTTCTCACACTTTTTTCAACATCTGAGAGCTAATCTGTAATTTATGGCAAAATTGAAGAAATTGTGAATGATGCTTGAAAATAGGACTCACCCAGTGAAATATAAAACGGACAATTTTGAGTGGCGACGTCGGAATCTGGTCAGAGCACCTTATGGTCGACAAAACTCCATTGATGACGCGCAAAAGCTAAGCCACCATTGCTTGCTCTCACAGTGAGTGAGTCAAATCAGCATTTTTTGGTTTTCAGCTGGGGCAAACCCTCGCACGTGCGTGAGTTGGGAGTGGTGGAGGTGAAGAGGAAGGAGACAATGGAGGGCCTGTGCTATTATCATTTCAATATCTTCTCTGCTTTTGTCACTTGCCTCAATTTTGTCCATTATTAAATCATAATCCTTGTAGACTTATTGATCTCCCTTTAATTTTTATTTTCCTAAATAATTATAATAATACAAGACTGGGAAATAACAAATAAGATCAGCTGAAATTATTTAGGGTTGACTCATAAATAAATGGAGTTTGACATATTTATAATTAGCCTAATCATAACTCATGAGATGTTCAATTGTCATACTCTTTGAACAAAAAGTACACGTGAATATTATTTGAATGTTGAATTTTATTGATGTTGTTTTTAAAGTACGATATGATATTTTTAATGAGTTTAAATACTATTGGTTAGGTCCGTCTAACTAGGGTGCAAATTGCAAACAAGCAGAGCTGCACCTGAGAGCTCGAATAGAGATCGAGTATTTCAAATTACAATTCTAATTCGAGCTCGAGCCTATAGTTTGTACACATTCATGCACTCGACAAGCCGCTCGATTGACACATGTTCGACTCAGCTACGCTCGTGTGCAGCCCTAAGCCTAAGCCAACCTTTGTTTGTGAAGTGTATTAATTGGATAATTTAATTTGAAACAACAATATCACATTTTGAAACAAAATTCGTATGTTCTGCTGCTTCTTATATATATAGATTCCAGTAACAATGTGTAAATAAAGTTTTGTTGTAAAATCAGTGCCTGAAAATTGGTGAGAGCAACAATTCAGCACTGGCAAAAAATATCTTTTCCACATTTGAGTTTACCATGTGCTAGCCCAAACCATGATCATTTAGCTGCTTGACAATATGTGTGGCTTTTGATATAGGTCCAAGAATAGTGGGCCCAGTACGGATTGTAGATAAGGTAAGATACGGGCCCTCCCCCATAAAATGTAGATCAGGATCAAATTATTGGGCCATTAGGGCCACCATTAATTGATGCATGTGTATGTGGGTAAAGGTCCACAGATTGTGACATGGTTCACTTGAAATATTATTATGGTGCGACCCGATCCTTTCTTTTTCTTTTCCATTTATTTGATTTTTAAATAAATATTTGATCTCTTAAATTTATCTCGATAACTTTTAAAAAAACTCTTTGAATTTTCATTTCTATTGACTTATCAGCTAATTTCATCGAACACTTTTATTATACCAATTAGCTTATCGAACACTTTTATTATACCAATTAGCTTTCAGTCATACGCTATTAATTATAACCTTAAAATTTACTTTTAAACTATCATTTAACTTATCAAGTATAAAATAACTTTTTCAGCTAAATTTACAAATATATCGTGTACATAAATTTACCAAGCATAGCGTGAGCGTGTATAAGGTAAGCATTAATTTACCAAGCATAACATAAGAGTGCGCGTTAAGTTAGTTAATAGTTTATTTAGTTACTAATAATCTTATTGTTTCAAATAAACTTAATTTGTTGTATGGACTTTTAAGTTTACAGTATCTCATAAGCTCATCTCTAATAGCTTTTAAATATGTATATTAATTTTTTTATTTTAGTTGACTTATCAATTAATTTTATTAAATATTTATTAAATATCATTAGTATAATCTATATATATATATATATATATANATTGCACTTTTTTAAGGTTAATTAAGACAAAAACCATTACATTTTGTATTAATGGAGAAATAGTTATACTCTTTTATTATATCATATAATAGTTATTATTAAAACTAATAATTGTAGTTTACCCTAAATGATATATGAAAGTTACATAAACATAAAAAATTATTGTAAATTTTAAAGTTATTTATTCTGAAATTACTATTATATTTTTTCTTATCTTATTTAGCGATTGTATTTTTAAATAAGTTAATTTATTTTAATATTATAGTAAAATTTCTTAAAATCACATAATCAAATGTCATATTAAATTTAATATATTTAAGCTAATAAATTGGTGATCTCTCAAAATTACATTATTTATTATATTTTATGTAATTAATATAGTGGTTCATATACAATCAAATAGTTATGTACTATTTTATTTTAACCAATGATCAAATTTTAAAACATAATATCATTATCTAATTTATGTTTTTATTATTATATGCATAAATATAACTTATAATACTCTATGTTTAAAATATAATATCATTGTATAACTTATAATTTTAATACTATATGTATAAATGTAACTTATAATATTCTATTTACACTGTGCAAATGGGTCGAATACCAGTTAATCATAATTTACCAATCCTACCAAACTCGTAACTCATACGAGAGGATACAAGCACTTTTAAAATACAACAAATGCACTTTTAAAATACTAACAAATGTCATTTTAAAGAAAATACACCAAATAAAATAAAAATTCCAAAAATCAATATTGCAAATTTCGCAATTAGCAACACAGCCGGGACCCGCTAATGTCTGTCCGCGGAAGGGGCCACGCGCCACCGCCTACCGCCAACGTTCACGGCTGCGACCGGCTCTACCGTGCACTCACCGACTGCCACCGCCGGATCCCGGCGGGCCTATCCCGCGAGGCGGCGTGCCGCCATCTCAACCGATCCCTCGCCGAGTGCCTGGTGGCCGCCGCCTGCCCCGAGGAGTCCGACGCTGTCCGCACCCTCTGCTCCAGCGGCGGCACCGCCCTAAAGCGCCGCCAGTGCCAGCAAGCGCAGCTTGCCCTCTCGGCCTGCCTATCCGATCACCAAACGGAACGCTGAAATTTGGGCGGTGGCAATTTTCCATCTTGGCGGTTTTTTTTTGGATCTAGGTTTCCGGCAAGAAATTTCCGTCCGTTTGATTAGTTTGGATTTGCCTTTTGCTTAATAAATTTTAAACATTGTAAACAAAACTAGGGTGCCCTGTTTATGAAAATTGAGAAAGGACGAAAATTGTTCCCAATTTTCTGCAAACTTTTACTGTCTGAATTTGTGTTGTGCTTTTTTTTAAGTACAAGGACAGAAGGTGTCGTTTTTTTGGCAGTAACATTAATCACTGTAATGCACTCACTGTAAGCATAGATCAAGAAAATCCACAGGTGGCTCTGGACTGGAAATAAATCACATTCACCACTTGTTTTTCTCCTTTCATTCCAGAGTATAATAAACATGATATACAAGAAGCAAAAGATAACAAGAAAGGACTATAAGAGTAGTATGCTGATTAAAGCTTTAATACAACAAGTAAATATCAAGTCACGCCGTGCATAAGCAAGAAAATAATAACTAACTAACCTTTTTCTTTCGTCATCTTCCTAGACATATCCGAAACAAGCGCATAGTTGTTACTGTCATAACATGCACTCATAAAAGCTGCGAGTGTGACACGATCCACTGCATGGTTTACCTCTAACAATTTATCAAAAAACTGGGCCGCCATTTCTACTTTCTGCTCACTGCAAAGCTTCCGGACCAAGGTTCTAACCGTACGAATCCATAGCTTCTTGTCTAACCTATCCAGGAGGACCATTGCAGTTAAAGATTCACCCTTTCGGCAAAACTCATAAGCTATTGTCAGCCGAGTGACTTCAGGTGGGGAAATACCCCTGTTCATCATTTCGTCAAAAAACCGTTTTGCCTCGTCTAACTTGGATTCCTTACAAAGCCCACTTATTAGAGCACCGTAAGTAAAACTATCAGGTGTACAGCCATTGTCACGCATCTTATGAAAAAACTTCACCGCCATGTCGACTTTATTATCCCGACAGTATCCACAAATCATAGATGTATAAGTCTGCGTGGTTGGAGCTAGTCCCTTATCCAGAGCATTCCAAAAAATCCTCTCACATTCTCGAATTTTCTTTTGCCTCGAAAGAGATGAGATCAAGGTTGTGTAAGTGTGCATATCGGGCGCAATTCCAATTTTCATCATCTTATTCGTAAGTGCCAAAGCCTGTTTGATATTATCTTGCTTGCAACTTTCGTATATAAGCACGGTATATGTAAATTTATCGGCACAAATCCCATTCCTAAAGCTTGTTTTCATCAAACCATAGGCCTCCTTCACCCTTCCTCTTTTACAGAGACCGTCAATAACAGCATTATACGTACAAGTAGTAGGGGTTAAACAGTCTTTCCCCATCTTGTCCATTAACTCATAAGCTCTATCAAAATCCCCAACCTTAGCATGGCCACCTATAAGAGTAGTATAAGTGTTCGAATTAGGAACTAACCCTTGTTCCTGCATTTTCACCAGTAACATCTCTGCTCTGTTCATCTTCTCCTCCTTGCAGTATCCAGAGATCATGGCAGTATAAGTGTGCACATTGGGCTTGTAACTTTCGCTCCGAACGAGTTTCAAGAAAAGCCGAAATGCCTTATCTGTCCAACCTTTCTTACATAGGCCATCGATCAAAGCTGTGTGAGTATACACGTTCGGCTTCAGCCCAATCCGAACCATCTCTTCCAATATTTCAAACGATTGCTTAATGCTTCCCCTGCGGCTTAACCCATTAATTAAACAAGAAAAATTGATTATGTTCGGCTCGAACCCCATCTCAACCATTTTGTTAAATATCTTTAGAGCTCTATCTACAAAACCGCTTTTACAAAACACATCGATAATCAAACTACATGTAGCCCGGTCGACAAGAAAGCCTCTGCCCAACATCACACCCAACCATCTATCGGCATCCGAGATTCTCCCGAGCCTGCAATACAACACGACCATCGACTCGAAACTATAGGAATCTGGAACTACACCTCTCTCACACATTTCGTCGAACACATTCTCAGCAATCTCATAACAACCCATCTCGCTCACCACACTCAGCACACAATTCAAAGTATGAGCTGTTAAAACCAAACCTTGGCTGGGCATCTCGAGAATCACGTCCACGGCCTCCCTCAACATCCCAATCTCAGCTACATTCCTCACCATACAGCGCAGAACCTCGTGGGCCCGCTCAAAGTTTCCATTTTTAATCAAGCAGGTAGCCGAGACAATGTAAAACCGCATAAAGTGCCTGAATTTGGGCGTCCCGACGGCCCAATAGAAAAAACTCATCGCCACCATTGAACCAGCCTCGTCGGCCAGTGAAGCCACCACGGTGATCGCCTGTTCCGTGGTAAGGAAATCGGAATCTATCGGCAGGTTCAACACCGAACGTGTTGAGTTCGAATGGGATTTCTTTCTCGGGTGGTTATTATAATACGAGTCGCAAACCCAAAAGCACACTCGTTTGACGACCGTCGACGACGGCGGGGCCGAAGAGGAGCTGTCGGCGACGGGACAGTGGCAAAAGGGCCTATAGATGAAGCCATGGAGAAGAGTTCCGACAGAGACATTGTGGCGGGAAATGGTACGAAGATGGATAAAGTTGAGGGGCACCATGAAACGGCTCAGCTTGATTCAGCTGTGGATTTCGGGCTTTGAGATATTGTCTGTATTTGTATGCAGTTCACTTCACTGGTCGCCATTAATTATAGTTTGGACGATGAACATGGCTCTCTCTGTCATATATACTCTTCTTCTGTTCGACCGAAATTCTGTAAAGCCAACTCGCGCTTGTCGGCCCAACAAAGAAAAGCCCAACGATTAAAAGTTTGTCCAGTCACGTAAGAGTGAAAGGCCCAATAATTCAAAATTTCACTAAGAGATGCCGATATAACCAAAGTTGTCAAGTCATGTCAGAGTGAAGCAAATATAAGCTGGTGTTAGCAGATTGAATTCTGGGCATGGGTTCAAAAGTTGCTCT